CCTCATCTACAAGACCCTGGATGATCTGACTTTCCATCTCCCTCTTGCTTCCTACAGGCACACCGATTTTCTTTTTTTTTTTTTTAACATGAGATTAGCCTTTTTTTTTTGGCCATGCTGTGCAGCATGTGGGATCCTATTTCCCCGACCAGCGATCGAACCCCACACCCCCTGCATTGGAAGCATGGAGTCTTAACCACTGCACCGCCAGCGAAGTCCCTGATCTTCTTTTGTGTTTTTAAGGACACTGAGCTCTTTCCTGGCCTTTGTAGTAGCTGTTCCCTCTGACTGAAACTTCTTCCTGGTCCACACATGATTGGATTCTTCTTATCATTAGGTCTTAGCTTAATAAAAGTCGTCTCCTCAGAGGCGCCTTGCCTGTCTACACAAATTAAAGGAGTGCCCAAGTCAGCTCCTATCCTATTACCTCGTTATGTGTTCATCATAGCAGTGATCATTGCCTGTTATTTTCTAGCTCACTTACCTGATAATTTGCCTGTTAGCAGTCTCCCTCATCGCAAATGCCATAAGAGTAAGATACTTGACTTTCTCTCTATCCCCAGCACCTAGAATGTACTGGGCCTAGAGTAAGTACTCAATAACTCAATGAATGCGTGAACAGCTTTACAAGTGCTGGCTTAAACAAGGTCCAGTAGAATTCTTTACAGCAAGGCTTTCAGAGCCTTTAATATGCTAATATGAATTGTGAATCTGAGTGAGTATCATGTATTCATGTTCCTAGGAACACTTTGGGGGGCATATTGATGTTGAAACATAGCATTTTTAAGGAATCAGATTTGTTTTCATGTATAACTAATATTTTAAAGGGAAACAAATCTGGGACTTCCCTGGTGGCGCAGTGGTTAAGAATCCGCCTGCCGACTCAGGGGACGCGGGTTCGAGCCCTGGTCTGGGAAGATCCCACATGCTGCAGAGCAGCTAAGCCCGTGTGCCACAACTACTGAGCCTGCTCTCTAGAGCGTGTGCGCCACAACTACTGAGCCCGTGTGCCACAACTACTGAAACCCACGTGCCTAGAGCCCGTGCTCTGCAACAAGAGAAGCCACTGCAATGAGAAGCCTGCGCACCACAACAAAGAGTAGCCCCCGCTCGCCGCAACTAGAGAAAGCCCGTGCGCAACAATGAAGACCCAGTGCAGCCAAAATTAAATAAATAAATTTATAAAAGTAAATTAATTAATTAATTAAATAAAAGAGAAGTAAATCTAACACATGGCACATATTCTTTAAAATTCCTCTTTCTCTTTCCTGCTCCATCCTTTAGGACTCTGCTCTCTGCAACTAAATCTGATCAGTTGATTTGTACGTAGGTATACATGTGTAGTACAGCCTTCGGGCCTTTTATCCACTCTGTTATTTATTTATCATATTAAAACCTCATTGTTACTAGTAGCAAGATACAAAAATAATGATAGTGATAGGCTGGTGAAAAATGATTTCTGGAATGGAAGCTTTTGATATCCCTCAAATTTATCTCCAAAGTGCCCACTGATACCCTGTAGACAAAAGTTTTGACTGTTGACCTGATTCTACTTGATAGACCTTTTTTCATAGGTATATTTCTTTGGTAACAACATTTTTGAAGCAGTTTTTACAAATTCTTTGTGTCAGCTGGATGCATTTGTGCTATAGAAAATCATGTTATTTCTATATGAAACTTTAGAATTGATGAAGGTTGCATGTTTCTTTTCAGAGCCTAAAGATCCTGGTTTGTTTCTTTCCAGAGAAATAAGGTCCAGAGTTGTTGACTGCTACCGATAACTGGTTAGGACATGTATTTATTCCAAAGCCTTCTTTCTACTTCACCCTCCTTCTGTTGGGGGGATTAGGTGCCAGACATTCTGGATAAAAAATAATTAGAAAGGCTCTGGATGGTATTTTCTCCTGTCAAGGTTTAGGTTAGGCTTTGTTAGAGATGGTCTGTTTGAGTTTTGTGCTTACGCGGAGGGCACAGCCGCTTCTGGCCTCTCTACCTTGGTGGAGTTTGAACTCCAACTGTTGACTCCCCAGTGGATATGGGGTTCCACTCACATAGTAAATTGGTCCTATATCACTCTCTCTGCTGACTCTTCTTTGAGTAGAGTACATAATGACTCGCATTTGGGAGGCTGTGAATTCCCTTTGAACCTCTATTCCCGGGCTCCTGCCTATGGAAACGTGACATTCTAATTAGAAGTTCAAAGCATTCTATACTATAGACCACTATGCAGAGAAGCCACTCTTGAAAACAAGGCTGGGTGCTTCCGCTCCTGGTCAGCCGGTGTCCATATGTCACAGTGTCCAAATGGCCAGTTCTGTCCATTGAGTTTACTGCCACCGGTTGGCCACCTCCTGAGTATACTGGTTAATTCTTGAATAAGTTTTAAGTCAACCATGAAAATAACTGTTAGTCATATAAGTTACTACCACAGGATCTATTTACAGCCCAGATTTTACAGACCGATGCCTTGACAAATGTGTTTTTATTTGCTGTGAATAATTTCTGCATAGCGATATTGAAAAAAATGTAATTCAGATTTTCCATTAAGAAGAAGGCAGCAGCAGTGTGCAGAGAACTGTCAATTATCTGTGACTCCCGTCATCATTATTCTGGGACTGATTTGGGAGGAATTCAGCTATTCTTGCAGAAAAACTATTGGTTAAACATGAACAGTTAGAAAACCTCTTTCTGTAGCCTGAGACATAAAAATGAGAAGTAAGATTGAAACCAGAACCCAGTTCTCCAGCCAAGACTCTCTCTGTTGAAATCCATAGGCAAAGGGAAGAGCTGATGATGGGTTTCCTCAGGGGAAGGCTTAGCTGCCAGGACTGCCCCGAAAGCCTGTTAATCAGCCTCTCGAGGGGGCTGCAGGCGCACAGCGTTCTCGGGCAAAGGTCCACACGGCTTCCCTCAGCCTTTCTTTGCCAGGTGTGTACAAAGGTCTGGAGGCACGGAGGGAACGTCAGGGGAAGTGGCGACACAGTGGCTGCTCTCAAATTAATGGTGGGAACGAGGGCTGAGATCAAGGCAGAGCCGGGCTCGCAAGCGTTTGCCTCCGGAGAACTCATAGGAGATGGTGAATGGCCGCCACCCCTGCGCTCTCAGCTGCCAGGGCCCTGCTCTGCCTGGGAGGCCTCTTCTGCCCGAGGCTTTCCCGTCACTAACTTTCTGTTTTCTGGAGTCCGTTGTTGTCAGATTGCCCCCAGTAAACCCAGCCTCAACCGCACATCAAAGCTCCTGGGACATGCTCTTTTGAAAGCTACCCAAGTTCCCAGCTCGCAGAGGCATCCTCAGGCCAGCCACCTGCCTCAGGCTTCCCAGAGGCTCATCACCCTAGAGCTAACCGTTCAAAGCTTAGAGGAACTTGAAGGTCAGACTTCCTATTAATACTATTCCAACCTATTCTGGATTCAATAGGCTTTGGGGAGTGGCTGAGAAACCCACTGAGAAATTTCTGAAGGAAGCTTCTATGATCATCAAAGTGCTGTTTTTAAATTTTGCCTTGTTTCAAAAAACTAAGAAGCAGCAAACTGGAAACATAACGCATCTACCTGACTCTAAAAGTAGAAATAAATAAATAGCTCATGCTTACAAGCATATATGCGTGTAAAATCAGAGACTTTAAAACAGGAGATGAAGAGAGACACATGGTGAACAAAGTGACTTAAACCAGATGGGACTGACGTGTACACACTGCTATATTTAAAATGGATAACCAACAGAGACCTACTGTATAGCACAGGCAACTCGGTTCAACATTCTGCAATAATCTACACGGGAAAAGAATTTGAAAAGATACATATATACGTATCATTGGATCACCTTGCTGTACACCTGAAACGAACACAACAACATTGTTAATCAACTCTACTCCAATATATATTAAAAAAAAAAAATTAGATGGGATTAGTTGGGCGGTGTTTAGAGGGGGAGGGGCCAGAGGGAGCAGGACCCCAACTTCCCAGCGCAGAGTGGACTGGCCCGCAGGGTAAACTGGAGGTAGCTAGAGTTAGAAGCGGATAGTTACAATTGATTAGGGTTTTTTTGCTTTTTTTTGTTTGTTTGTTTTTTTGCGGTACAAGGGCCTCTCACTGTTGTGGCCTCTCCCGTTCCGGAGCACAGGCTCCGGACGCGCAGGCTCAGCGGCCATGTCTCACGGGCCCAGCCGCTCCGCGGCATGTGGGATCTTCCCGGACCGGGGCACGAACCCGTGTCCCCTGCATCGGCAGGCGGACTCTCAACCACTGCGCCACCAGGGAAGCCCTACGATTGATTAGTTTTATTTTCTCTTTTAATCATTTTGTTGCATGATTGTACCCCCCCAACACCCTTCTCCTGACCGCGTGGCCTCTTCCCCTCCCAGCCACCTGCATTCTGCTCTGATTCCATTTTTCAAAGGCAACAGTTGCTTTCTCTGAGTCTTTTGTGATATTGGCAGTAGTATGTGCTGCTCTATTCATTATCTTTTTAAAAACAGGTAAGGTGGATGGGAAATGCTAATAGCAAATGCAGCCCCAGCTCGGCCCCCTGCTGTTCTGCAAAGCACATTTTCTTATCAGGCCCAGGCCCTCGCCCCACAGGCAGAGGCAGGAGGACCAGGCGAGAGCAGCCAGCCAGGCTGTTTGGTGCAGTGCACGGTCCACAAACACAGCCAAGTGGGCAACCAGCTAGATAGTTCATGTGAATCCCCAGCTTTTGTCTTTCTTCACTCGTTTCCAAAATTGCTTGTAAGCTCAACTGTAAAGTGTAAAGTGTCGCGGGCGGAAAACAAGGTTCCTTTTGGACCTGGACCTCGACCCCTCTTCCTATTTCTCTGTGAAGCAGGTTCTGCAGCTTCTGCTGCTTGCCCTTGGGACCTGAGTCTAGCGATAAATAAAGAACCATTTATCAGATTGCGGAGTAGGTTGAGACCAGGTGTGAAAATAAGAGCTTTCTTGTGAAGCTGTGAACCACAACTGTTTGAATTCCAAAAATAATGTGTCCTTTTTACGCAATTGCAGATTGCCGCATTCCACAAATTGAAGATGCCGAGATTCATAACAAGACATACAGACATGGAGATAAATTAATCATCACTTGTCACGAAGGATTCAAGATCCGGTACCCTGACCTGTACAACATGGCTTCATTATGTCGTGATGACGGAACGTGGGACCATCTGCCCATCTGTCAAGGTACGGGGCTGAGGCTGTGGTTCTCAGCTGTTCTTTCAGACTTGATTGTGGAGCGGGTACACGTTTCTCTAATAGGATGACAGGGGGAAACACAAAGCCACGCACACCCCATGGTTCAGCTGTACTGCACTCTGATCACCACAGCTCTGTGTTTGGAATCTTCCCACAATTCCCTGTGCTTCTCTCCAGCTCTATACACCCAGCTTTAAAGTTCAAATGGGAGATACCTTATTCTTTAGTGTGTTGGATGTCTCCTTTATCCTAAGAAACCAAAAGTCGTTGCAGAATTAGGAGCCTTGTAACTGGGCTGTGAACACAATGATGAACTATTGTATATTTAATGGAAATAACAGCATTTATACTGATTCGGTTGTGGTGCAAATATATTTAAAGCCAATCTTACAGAGGCTATTTTCTCTTAATAATGTTATCCTTTTTTATAATGCATGAGGAGCAGAAAAATAATCAAATTCAAATTTCATCCAAACCATACGATGAATATTTATCCTCCTGCGTTTTTTAAATTTGCTTGGGCCGACACAGAGGGCCCCCTGTTTGTGAAAATAAGCCCTCGAGTTCCCATTAATTCTGATTTTATTTTTTGACATGTGACTTGGACCAAAGGACTAAAAAAACCCATGCATAATTCATAATCCAAGGGAGAAGGCTAGCAATCTTATTTACACCAAAAGCACTGGCATGTTAAAGTTGAGACGGATGTCAACTTTCTGCTTGGAAATCATGACGGGCAGACTCTGATATTGCTTTGTGCACCCCATAGTTGGAAATAAATCATTTCCTTATGTGAGAGTTTAAGAGTCACGGCCCCTTGAAGAAACAAAGGCTTCAGGATTAGGAGGACAGAGGCAGCCCAGGTCCTCACCCTCCTGCATTTCTCCCCAGAAGCTTCTGGGTTGTTTAGCGTGTTATGTGTTACATTCTTAAAGGAGACACGTGATTTATTTCTACTCTCTTAGAGACTCTCCACAGAGTCGGCAGCCGGCTTTTAGGTAGGGCTGTTTATCCAAATGAACTTTATTAACCATGGATTCGTTCCAGTCCTGCGGCGTTATCCGAGTAACGGCCAAGAAAATTATTTCAGGCTCCAACCCCTTCTCGCTTTCATATTTTCCACTTGTCTTTCGGTTCTCCCACCCTTTCAATTTCCTTTTACATCCCTTAAATACAGTACGCTTCTTTAGGAGTTCTTTTTACCCCAATGATTTTTTTAAATGCCCTATGGGGATAGACATCTTGGGGTGTCATTGTCACGAGTTCAGGTGCAGGCTTGCCTCTTGCTCTGTCTGTGCCCTTTCGCCCCTCCCCTCTAGCACCCCTTACTAAATCTCAGTCATAACACAGCTTCGATGTTTTTTGCAGCAACAAAAGAGCTGGCCGGCCGCTCTTGAAAGGTGTGCGTCTTCAAACAGCAATACAGCCCACAGCCCACCTTCAGCCCTCCTCAGAGCCCTCGGTCCCCACGGAGGAGGTGCCCCTGGTCTGGGCCCTGATACCCCCCTCCAGCCCCCGCACCTTGCCGTCCACCCGCGTGGGCACAGCAGGGTTGCTTTAGACAGCCTGACACCTCTCGAGCCCCCAGAGGGTATATAATTGGCCCTTCGAGTGACATTTCATCCTGTAATTTTTATTTGTACCTATAGATCCAGGGGCTACAGCCTGAGGAGCCGTTTCTCTATTATCTCGAAGTGCAAATAGAAATCACATTCAACTATTGAGTCGAAGTCAGTTTTCTACCGTATTTTTACAACAGGCTGTTCTCCAACCAAGAGTGAGCATAGCTTTCCTTCTCTGATTGGCTGCACGTGTTCCAACCCCTTTCCTCTCCTTCTGGGGTCGGAGGTGGGAACCGTTCCAAGGCCACTTTTTCCCCGGAACTTTGTGTTTTAGAGATCCATGTGCCGATGCTTCCTGCTCCCTGTGGGTCAGAGTTAGTTTCTGACTTAGGGGATGCAGTCTATCCACATGGGTAGCTTAGAACCACACTCCTTCCCAGAAGGAGGCAGGGGCACAGTCACGTGTGCCCACACATTGGAACCCTGCTCAGGGTTCTAACACATTCCCTTGTTGGTGTTGATTTGCTTATCTTTTTTTTTTTTTTTTCTCAGTTACTGATCCTGTTTATGCCTGATTGCCAAACTCCCTTCACACATTTCACTTTTGCCATGAACAGTGTTCATTTTCAGCTCCGGAAAAAAAAAAATCCTTTAAGACCGTCGGGACTGCCCAAAAGGATGGCTGGGCATCACGCATGTCTGATCTGGTCCATCCTGAGTGTGGCTTGTTCCGGGCAGGGATCTTTGGGGTCTGTGGGGTCTGCGGGGCTCCAGGACACCAGGAGGCAGCAGTGCAGGTTGACCCTTGACGACCCCAGAGTGAATGCCTCCTACATTCTGCACCCCTCACTGTGTTGTCTGTGTCTGCTCTGATACAGACACAGACACCACAGTCTAAGGCGCCGACCCGAGCAGTTCGCTGAATACGCAGCTCTTCGACGCTTGTACTGTAATGTGTCAGAGAGTCATCTTAAGAGAGGAGTTCTGTCATCTGCTGCAGTGCCTGCGTGATACAGTTTGTGCTTGGTGATTGGAAGGGAAAGTAGGTTTTTCCATTATCTATTATTTACTTCACACACAATTAGTTCTCCCCGGGAAGAGCACAGCTCTGCAGGGTCATTATGCCCTCCAGTGAAGCTGCTGAAGCCAATAAGAAATTCACTAATCACAGCAGATGCCACACCACGTGGGCTGCTGTGCCACTGGGAATGTTCCACTGGGCTGCACAGGCTTCAGGACAAAAGGCAGCTACTGTTTTACAGAAGTAGGGATCGAGGCCTCACGCTCACTCGGATGGCACACGGTATTCTGTGCATGGTGCACAAACTCGCTACAGCACGTCTGCTCAAAGCCTGGTGCCACGGCAACAGCGCCCGGAAACCTGTAGCAGTGCACATCCTTGAGCTCCACACGGACCCACTGAACCAGAAGCTCTGGGTGTGTGGGCCAGCAGTCTGTCCTACAAGCCCTCTCTGGGTTATTCTCAAGTTTGAGAACCACTGCGTTACATGTTACTTTCCTATTTCACCTAAAACACAATGGGATTTTCAAAACTTTCATTGCACTGCGTCAGGCAGGTGTCTGTTCCGTTCTCTGCTGCCGTGGAACCCAGTCTGCATCCTAACCTTCTCGAGCTGCCCACCACCGCTGCTGAAACAGGAAATAGTCTCTCTTCCCTCTGTGGCACCTCAGTGGTTCTCAGCCCTGATAGCACTTTAAGATTATGTGGGGAGCTTTAAAAAAAAGTAGGGGTGTCCAGGCTGGATACCTACCCGGGCACAGGTCTGGGCATTAGTGTTTTTAAAAATTTCCTCAGGTGAAAAGGGAACCCTCCTCCACTGTTGGTGGGAAGGCAAGTAGGTGGGGCCACTGTGGAAAACAGTATGGAGGTTCCTCAAAAAACTAAAAATAGAATTAACATATGACCTGGCAATCCCCCCGCCATGCATCTATCCGGACAAAACTTTAATTCAAAAAGATCCATGCACCCCAATGTTCATAGCAGCACTGTTTACAATAGCCAGGACATAGAAACGACCTAAATGTCCATCAACAGATGAGTGGAGAAAGAAGATGTGGTACATATATACGATGGAATATTACCCAGCCATAAAAACATGGATGCAGCTAGAGATTATCATACTAAATGAAGTAAGTCAGACAGAGAAAGGCAAATACCAAATACCATATTATATCACTTATATGTGAAATCTAAAATGTGACACAAATAAACCTATCTATGAAACAGAAATGGACATAAAGAACAGACTTGTGGTTGCCAAGGGGGAGGGGGTTGGGGGGAGGGATGGAGTGGGAGGTTGGGATTAGCAGATGTAAGTGATTATATACAGAATGGAGAAACAACAAGGTCCTACTGTATCACACTGGGAACTATATTCAGTATCCTGTGATAAACCATAATGGAAAAGAATATAAAAAAGAATGCATGTATATATATGTATAACTGAATCACTTTGCTGTACAGCAGAAATTAGCACAACATTGTAAATCAACTATACTTCAATGAAAAATAAATTAATTAAAAACTTTCCTCAGGTGATTCTAACATGCAGTCAGGGCTGGAACCACCAGCTAGGGGTGTCCCGATCCACAGCTCCACCTCTCGTTACTACTTCCCTACTCGTCTGACCCTCTCGATGCCACTTGCAAGTATACAAGCAAATGCCTGCTTTAGAAATAGAGTAGGTACACAGATAAGGAGGTCTGAGCATTTAAGACCAAGGTGTGCGGTCTTCGGAGGCCATGCCACGTTTTCAGCGGGGGAAACCGAAAGACATATAGTGCTTTGTCTTTGAGGTGTACAAAGATGACCACGTGAGACACTTCCCTTTTTCTTTCCCACGTCGCAGGCTGCCTGAGACCGCTTGCCTCTTCTAATGGCTATGTGAACATCTCTGAGTTCCAGACTTCCTTCCCAGTGGGAACTGTGATCTCCTATCACTGCTTTCCTGGATTCAAACTCGAGGGGTCGGAGTATCTCGAGTGCTTACACAACCTTATCTGGTCGTCCAGCCCACCCCGGTGCCTTGCTCTGGAAGGTATCACATCTTATTCTTTTGGAAGTTGAATTTTGGCTTATTAAAGTGGATGTTTCAATAGGAGGTAAAGAGCTGAGATTATGGTCAGCAATAACTTCTGTTCCCTGAGTACACATTGCTTGCAGAGGCAGCAAGCCTGATCGTCTGCCATGAAGCAATACTTAAAACCAGACATAAAACTGGCTTTCCCCATTCTCAGGCTTAAAGGGGATGAAAGAGAAAAGTTTCAAGCATCAAAGGTTACACTGCAAAATATTGCAAAGTTAAATGAAGTGTCTTCAAAAATTAATTTTCTCTGCACCAAATGAAAACAGATTGTATTATGGCATCATTAATCTCACCCCTCGTTTTATTGTTGTGTCAGTGTTTCCTCCTATTTCCATTCATTTTATGGCTTGGCTCTAAATGTTTTGCTGCAAGCACACACTTGGAAGCCTGAAACCAAGAGATCTTGCCTCCTTGTTTTTGTTAAATATATGTGATTATTTTTGAGTGCGGTTCACTAAAGACCACTAATCAGTAGTATGGAATGGTCGGGGTGGGAGGTGGTCAGAGTGTCCACTGCTGGAATCAGGCCAGCGTCTATAAGGGTCTATAGAAACTCCTCCTAGGTAAGCTGGGCATACTGGCTCAGCCCTCGCTTTAATTCAGGTCTTGAAATTATGATTATGCGGGGAACAAACACCAATTTACTTCTTGGCATCTGAATACAGTGGGCGGGAGGGGGGTCTATATGGGGAAAGAAAAAAATGAAAGGAAATCTCTAATCAAGAGCCCCTGCAAAGCCCATCTGCAGCTTTTCTCGGGAAACAGATCAAGACACAGTAGAACGTAGAAACAAACAAGTTCTCACAAGCACCGTCTGCCTCCACGCGTGCACCTCAGTGTGGGACGAGGTCAGGTTAGGAGGTGTGTTATGGGGGGTGACAGCCAGAGGGATCAGAGGTGTCTCCTAAGGAAGACCATGGATTGGCCGGAGCCGTGGGAGCCTCCTTAGAGAGAAAGGAGGAAGGGGTGGAAGGGAGGGGAGCCTGCTGCTTGAAGGAGAGAGAATGCCAGCCGGGGCCGTCAGTGGTGCTCTTCTCCTAGGCTGGTAAGCGGAACCCCCGCTCGCCCCTACTTCCCACCCATCCTAAATCTCCTAGGGGGTCAGAGCCCACAGTAGAGAGAGGTAAAATACAGGACACCCAGTTAAGTCTGAATCTCAGATAAATAGCAAATAATTTTTTAATGTGAACATGTCCTAAATATCGGATGGGACTTACTCATGGTCAACAAGTATTCTTTGCTTATCCGAACTTCAACTGTAACTCAGTGTCCTGTATTTTCATTTGCCACATCTGGCAACCCTCGCCTAGAGGGATAAGGGTATCTCCTGTTTCCACTGGGAATAGCTTTTCTGCCGTCTGGACACCGCTGGCCAGCGTGGTGAGTGTGGGCTGCTGGCGAATGGGGGCTTTTCTGGTTCCTGGAGTTTTCTCCTGCTCAGATAAGCAGAACTAGAGGACCTGTTAAAGGTATCATGTTACAATTATATCAGTTTTAAATGCTATTTTCAAATCTTTTCAAATTCAGTTCAAACACCTTTCAAGCCATCATGTTCTAAGCTTCATTTTGAGACTTTGAAAGCAGTGTTTCTGGAGCTTAGGGAATATAATGTGAATAGGCATAAAACAAAATCTCACTTGAAGGGGCAGTGAGCTAAGGTTATGAACAGGAAGCCATGAGTGGCTTCTGATTGGAAATGGGTCTCGTGATTTAACACAAGTCCCTTTTTCTCTGCCAGCCTGGCCTGTGCCCGAAGGGGACGCTAAAAGTCCAGGTGACAGCTGCCTCTGACAAGAAGGCCACCTAATACCTTTTTGTCCTCCATTTAAAAAAGAATAATATTTACATCCTTATTTTCAATACATGTTCCTTTCAATTACCTGATGCAATTAGTTTGTGAGACGCTTAAATGCTACCCTGGCTAAAGGCACCAAAGACATGATTCTAAACTGAGAGAGGCAGAGAGGACTAAAGGGTTTTTTGTCTCAAGACTTCATAGAAGCTGGGTTAAAATAAAAGGTAAGGATCCATGAACAAAAAGTATCCGGATGACACCCGGGTGCTGGTATTTCCTTAACTCTTACTTGAATAGTGTATCATCTTTTTCAAAGGCGGTGCCTTATTTATGCAAATTGTCAAATGGTATTCAACGTAGATGCGCTGTCCCCAGGGAATCTACCCACCCCTTTAATATATCACCCACGGTCCCCCATCCCCTCATTTTTTTTTCTGCCTTCCTGAGCCCACAATTTGAATTTTCTTGATGGCAGAGTGAAAATTATCGCACTGTGCTGTGGAATCATGACACCCTCGGGGGCTTTGACTAATATATTAGGGCGCTCTGACCCCTGATATGACTGGGTCTGGACAGCTGTGCCATGGAAGCCTTTCTCTGTGAGCTTTTTATCCCCTTCCCTTTCCTGTCTCCCTGTTAATCCGTCAATCCCTCACGTGTCACGGTACCTGTCACTTCAGTTCCCTCCACCCCTCGAGCTCTTTTTCCTAACCTGCCACAAGCCTGGAGACGGAATCACCAGGATGGTCATGGAGGCGCTGTAGGGCATTGATTAGAGTGTGGGTTGGCATCAGACTGGCTGAGTTCACATCCTGAGTTTCCTACTTAATCAGTTTGACCTGGGGCAAGTCGCTTAGCTTCTATCATCCTCTACTTCCTCATCTGTAGAATGCGGGAGATGACTGTACCTGTGGGACTGTGAGGGTCCAGTGTGATAACAAATGTAACACATTTAGTGAAGTGCTGGGTGCACAGTAGGTGGTCGATCAAGTGTCCATCATTATTAGTGCTATTAGACTTGTGTACAGAGTCACACTAAATGAGAATCTGGGCATGGCTGTGTGAACAAAGTACCCAGGCTTTTATGCATTTACACTGCAACATCGTGTTGGTTGTTCAGAGGAGATTTTGGTTACTTGCATACTTTTTTTTTTTTTTTTTGTGGTACGCGGGCCTCTCACTGTTGTGGCCTCTCCCGTTGCGGAGCACAGGCTCCGGACGCGCAGGCTCAGCGGCCATGGCTCACGGGCCCAGCCGCTGCACGGCATGTGGGATCTTCCCGGACTGGGGCACGATCCCACATCCCCTGCATCGGCAGGTGGACCCTCAACCACTGCACCACCAGGGAAGCCCCAGTTACTTGCATACTTTTAACTGTGTTTGTATAAGATGAATCGCAGATAATGGGAGCAAGTACTGAACAATAATAATGATTGCCAGTTACCTTGAGAGCTTACTGTGTATCAGAATGTTTGACAAAGTATCTCATTTAGTCCTCCTATCACCTTTGTGAGACAAGTACTCCTTTTTTTTTTTTTATATTTATTGGCTGCGCCGGGTCTTAGTTGCGGCACACGGGATCTTTTTTGTTTAGTTGTGGCATGCGAACTCTTAGTTGCGGCCTGTGGGATCTAGTTCCCTGACCAGGGATCAAACCCGGGCCCCCTGCATTGGGAGTGCGGCGTCTCAGCCACTGGACCACCAGGGAAGTCGCAGACAAGTACTGTTTTTAATCCCATGTTACTGCTGAGCAAGCCCGGGTTTCTAGAGATTCAGTAACTCAGCCAAGGTCACACAGTTAGTAAGTGGGGGCGTGGGGCCTCGAACAAGGGTCTTTGCCACTTGAAAGCTCATGCTCTTCATCACTAAGGTGCATTATGTAATTATGCGTGATCTGATTGGTTCTGATTTCTTTACAATTTGATATTTTTATAGCCGTTTTTTTAAAGCATCAAAAAATTTAAAACAGTTATCACACAGGAAGGGATTTGTGCTTCTAGTCCAATTCTCCTCCCTGTAGAAATCCCAGCTGCAGGGGGCCGTGAGTCCGGGTGGCAGACAGCACTCCCCGCTGCCCCGCACGTGCCCATGAGTCACCCCGTTACAGCAGAGCCGCACTTCAGCCCCTGGGCTGCGCAGGGATTGTGTCTCCTCTCGCAGACTGGACGACTGACGCCTTGGAGGGTGGCGTGACTTGCCCACACTGCCCAGCCCTTGGCATGGCTTCTTCCACTGCGTGCTGTCTCCTCTCCCTAGCGGCATGGAGCAGGCTTTGCTGGTGCCAGTGTTGAGTGGCAGCTGTCACACTCAGTGTCAACCATCCCGTAACTGAGGCCTGGCTTCATGAAGGACTTTATAATTCGGAAGGAAAAACTCTGGCAGCCTCACCAAAGGTGGCAAGAATTCCCAGGCCCGGTAGGAAGGTGCGGGTGACGTGTTTCAAAGGCCTGGGGCCGTGGCACCTGGCTTATTGAGTGGTATGACACCCGTCTTCTGTCTGTTTTCCCACAGCCGGGTTGTGTGGGGTAGAACACCTGAAATCACAAAATCTTGGACCACAGTGTTGGCTACGTCATTTTAAAATACATGAATGTATAAATTTGAGCCTGGAAGGAGCCCCATGGGTTTCTATGTGCTGGTCTTTCATGCTGTGGGTCTGCGTGCTTTTCTTTATCTCTGTGTGTCTTCATGTTTTCCATTCTCAGGTCGTCTTCATCTCTGAGGCTTTCATTGCTCTCTCTTTCATACACACACACACACACACACACACACACACACATGCACTGAATCCAAGAAATCTTTTTTTAAAAAAAAAAAACAACCTTTGACAGTGAATGTGGGCATTTTCTCATTTGTAAGTGCTAAGAACTCTGTTTACATTGTCAGCAGTGTTTATTGGACACCTGGTAGACACAGAGCGACACCGAATTGGGCTCTGGGGAATTATAGAGAAAGAAAAGGACATCATTCTTTACTTCGAAGACCTTACAGTCTAATGGGGAGAAGAAGATGACAAATCCCGTTGCCTAGAGACTAGCGTCATCACAGACCGCACCGCGTATGCCCACAGCTACCTCAACCAAAGGGCACGTGCGTGCTTCTGCATTTGGAAAGAGGGAAAGGAAAGTTCTGGTAGGTGGTATCGCAACTGTAAAAT